GCTGGAGGGCTGAGTCACTGAAGACCTGCCTGACAAGCGCAGCAGCTGACCCGGGGCACTGTGAGCAGAGAAAAAACTGCAGGCACGCGCACACTTGACCAAAGGGCGCTTGCATGAGGTGAGTGTATCCCATTACAGATATTTTATGGGGGGGGGGGGGGGAATAGCTATCTGTAGCTTCTCTATCTTCTTTTCATACCTGCCAATTGTCCCCACCTGCTCTCTTCCTGCTCTTTTGAGAACTCCAGTATTTTTCACTGTAACTAGTCAAAAATGTATTGAATATTTGATTTTTGTAATCTGCTTCTTAGCCACTAGCAATAATGGTTCAGATATCACTATGACACACACTAATAGCACATTTTGTTTTATGTGGAATTTTTGAGTAGTAATGTTTTAGGCTTTGGCACCACCAAGAGTCAATTTTGCTTACTACCGCATTTAATTGCTAGATAGACTCAGATGTTCTAATGAAATCCAAAGCTGTCTGCTTTTTGTGTAACCCTCAAAGTCTCTCTTTAGAGATTCATGTGAAAGAAAAAATAGTTTTGGTTTTGAATTGGTAGTGCCCCTGGAAAAACAATTATTTTGGAAGTAGATGCTACTGCTGTATCATTTGTCTTTGTAAAACTTGAAGAATAAGATGAAAACTACAGCTTGAGATATTTCATCAACTGTATTTTTGTCATACACATCTGATTAAACACTGAACAAAAAAAGCAGTGTGACTGATACAGCTAAATCATACAGGTAATTCATTAACAACTTTGAATTATAAACTAAATATACAACCTGAAGAAGCACCAGTCAACAGAAAACCGTCCCTTATTTTTGAAATGCAATGTTGGTAACCCTAGTGTTTACTAATGAAATAACTTTACTTAGCATGTGCCATATGTGTCACAGTTTGATAGCTAAATGATAACAAGAGGTTGTGCAAATGTTTGACAGTAAAATATACACAGAGAACATGCAGTAGATGGATTTTCAAAAGTGACTAGTGATTTTTGGGTGCTTCAGTTTTTCGGGGTGCTGCTTGAGACACTTTAAAAGGGCCTGATTTTCAGAAAATGCTGAGCACCAAGTGCATGATTTTACAAAAATGTAGGCTTATGCCCAGAATAGAGCAGTGATATTCAGACTGGTCTGAGTTAACAGGCTATTGTTTCTTTGGCTATCGCTGTAGAGATTAATTATATGGATTCAAAGAAATTTGGACTGCATTTCTAGATATATTTGGATTAAAAATATTTAGACTGCTCAAAGAACACACTTCCATTCCTTCTAACCCCTCCTCCTTTTCCATCCCTCTTTGGTCCCCTGTTTTTCCTATTTATATATGTTTTTGCCTATTTGATTACTGTAACCCCCACTGTAACTATGTATTTGTAGTATTGTCTAGTTTTGTACTGTCTGGTCTTGCAGCTTTGAGTTGTAAAACTGCATAAGTCTTCTGGGGATCCCATGAAGCATATGGTTCTTGGAAACATATACAAGCTGCAAGTCATCCACCTTTTTGTATTTTTCACTTAATTTTTTTTTTTTTATAAAAGACAGTCACAAAAGAGCTGCTCAGCACTCACTCTAGAGAAAATCTGGATCCTTTAAGATTTCTCCAGTTTGGCTCCCAAAATTTGAGGTATGCAAAATCACAAAACTCTAGGCTTGTATTTCTGTTCAGGATCAGTATCTAAGGCTGGTAAAATAAGACTGTTCTTCAACAGTGGCACCCATTTCCATTAACTACTGATCAGGACAAACTAAGGCCTAAATCCTGCAGTGAGCTCCATGTAGGTGAATCTTTGCATCCAAAAAGATCTCATTCCAGGATCAGGATCTAAAAAGTGACCAAGTGTTTTACCTGAAGTCAGACAGCAGCATTCACCTGTCCTGAAAAATTAATTACTTTACTGAACATTTTCTCTACAAACCAAAATCCAGATGGAAAAACTTCCTGATACTAAACAAATAAGCAGAGTAAGAAGTCCCTTGTCTTGACTTTATTTTGCAAAATGGTACTTGAACTATGTATTACCCCTTTTGACCCATGCTGTTAGCCAATATATGTGGTCTTGAGAGTTGTTTCCGTTAACAAGAGAAATTAGTTAAACAGGACTGTATCAAAGAAATACCTCTAGTTACAAAGAACGTACACAAGGTCCTGTTTCCCTGAACACAGCAGAAATCAAACAAGAGACAGTTTCCACGCTCAATACTCCAAGACTCTTTCGACCCATCACTCTACCAAAAAGCTCTCGCTTTCTTTGCTTTCTCTCAGGACCATGTTTGCTGTGCCTATCTTGCTGCTTTCTGCCTCCCTACAGCTTCTTCTGATCCACAGCCCCATGCATTTTCAGTCAGATACCAACAAAACTATTTCACCCACATAGCTCAGTTTCTGACTGGTATTGTATGTGGTTTGTGTTTTCCATGGGGGCTCCTATTGTTTCAGCTATCTTACTCCAAAAAGAAGCTTAAGTGCTTCTTACGTTTATCCTGAACGAAAGGTGGCACTCACACCCGCCAGCTCCAATAAGGTTTTTGACTGCAGTTAAGGGTCAGACACTTCTTCTGGTAGCCACTGAAATCTTTGCCAAAAATATGCATGAATAGTTCCCTAAAATTAAGGGCTGCTGTACTGTTTACACTCAGACATCTCTAATGGGTGAGCCGGCAATAAATTCAGTAACAGTAGCTCCCTGCATGCCATAGAATAAATTGGATTTATAATATATGGTACACTGCCATTATGTTCTGCAGGAAATTCCTGGCAGCATGGTTAAAAAAAGACACACTAAAGGTGTGATTTTATTTTATTTTATTTTTTTTCATATACACTAAAGCCCCTTTATATCACTCTGGCAATGTAAAGGGGCTTATGTGAGTGCAATGTAATTTATTTCATGTTAAGGTCTGTTTACCCTGCTATCCGTGACTATTTGTATGTTAAAGTATTCTGCTCTGAAAAGGATATACCAAGAATTCTGCTTGCCTTTAACATTTCAACACTGTCAACTCTGAAGAACAGTCAGTCAAGGAAAAGCAAAGGGACAGTGTGATACTCAAACACATGCTTGAAAATAAATACATAGTAATATGTCTAATTTTAGGCCTGCTAGCGTTGATAGCAACTCTTTAAACATATTCTGATGTGAACCAATTGGCATAATTTCTTCCTGTGACATTTTCTTCTCTCATAAGTGCCACAAAACACTATTTATCATCCTGACTACAGAGCTAAATGAACAAGTACCCTGATAGATCAGGACATACCAGTACTAAAAAGTCACATTGCAAGCCACCTTCTCATTAGATTTTAAAGTCCACAGGATGATTAATAGAACAAAATAATGCAGAAAAATGTTAAATTACTGTTCTACTTGAAAATCCTTTTATCTGATCGATACGTGATCTACTACACCTTAATGGTGATCACATAAAAGTTGTCTTTTGTTTTGTTTGTTGTTTCTCACTGGATTGCTTTTCTATATACTGATTTATTCACTTCAGACTTCACAATGAGCTGCATTCACATAAAAGTTCTTTTCTATAATTCAAGCATGCTCACTCAGCAATTTTTTTTTTTTTTTAAACCTTCACTCAATGCCTTTTAAGCACCACTAATATGATGGAAGTCTTCCACTTGAAATTTGGTATGTTTTCCCTTGTGTCTTAATATAATGGATTTTAAATAGATATTTCCTGTAGATACTATTGTATTTCTGAACTCTGACACAAATCAGTATTTTTAAACACTGTGGACAAAAGGATAAACAATCAGGGCCAAACCCTTAAGGGAAAAAAAGACAGAAAACTAAAAATGTATGTAGTTAGACTAAAGAAAACATTTTAAAAGTATAATGAATTACCCCACTATTATTTCAAGTCGGAGACAAATTCTTATGATTGAACTCCTAGGGCTAAATGCTGTACATACTCCACTTCCTGAGATGCAGCCCAAAAAGATTGATGGGAGGTAAAGATGCAGTTATGTTATGTTTGCACCCTATGAATTCTAGGCTGCTAGAGGGCTGAAACAGCAGCCCATAGCCTAGGCATAGTAGCCCAGAACCCCTGGAGCACTTGATGTTATGGGCATGTTCCTTCTGCCACTGATATGCCCCCTACACCAGGGCTTGAGAGTAGGGTGAGGTGAGGGATATTTACACAGGATCTGCACTACCCTTGCACTGGAGAAATTTGCCCCAAGCCTCTTGCAGCTCCTATATAGCCCCTATGAGCTGCCAGAGTAGTGTATGGGGGCTGGAATAGTAGTCAAAGTCAGCCCCCTAATATTAAGAGAGGTCTCACCTGATAGACAGAATAAGGAGCCTCTTTAATGCAATATCATTCATGGCAATTCCTGAAATCCAAATTCAAGGGAGGAATCCTGCAAATTCTTATTCAAGAGAGTAGCCTTACACATGCGAGCAATCTCACTTAAGTCAATGGAATGTCTTGTGAGTAAGAGTTTGCAAGATCAGCCCCAAAAGAAAAAAAACATACATTGCTCTTCTGTCACATTACAACAGAACCTTGTTTCAACATATGTGAACTGAGTGAGCCTTTATCTTTTAAAAGTAAGAATTCACACTGCTATTACAAAACCTGCAAACAATTTAAAAAGTGAGAACAGCATCATCATGCAGTATAATTGTCCCTCACTCAAAAGCAGCAAGACGTTCTTTTAAAGTCTTCAGATGTAACTCAATGATAAATTACAAAAATAAGAACACTAACTAAAGAAAATAAGATCAGCGAAAATAAGTAGAGTTATTTCTCATGAATGGAATTTTAAGTAAACTGAAAAAATTTAAGCTGTAAAATTTTGTTTTGTTTTGTTTTTTGGAATAAGGTACATTCAACTATCTGCTTTGGCCTCCTTAAGTATTTAATCATTTGAAATGCATACTTAAAATGACCTGGAAAGATTAAGATGCCAGAGCACCTTATGTATCTTTCTGAAATAAATATTTTGAATTTAAAAAAAAAAATCCTACCCGCCGGTAACTCTGCCATTATTTCAAATGCCCGGTGCATGTTTCGCCGACAGATATCCACTGGATCATTCAAGAGCTGGGACAGGGCAGGAATGACTCCATTTTCTATAAAGCCATCCCTACAAACAGAAAGCTGGGTTTATGGGAGATTTAATTAGGTAAAATAAAACTCATAAATCCTACCAATGTGTAATAATCTCACTGACATTCTATTCTAAATCTTAACACACTCCAGCAATCTTGATGAAACTTGGAAACTGCTGCTGAATATTCTTCACTGAAACTTGAGCTACCATCTCCACTTCCCAGTATCATCCAGTAAACTCTGGTGAATATACTTGCCTGCCAACATTATGAGTAGCCATTATATAAAGGACTTCAGTTGTTTTTTCTCGAACAGTGCTATCTTGGTCTAGAAGCAAATATTTCAGGTTATCCAGGAATCCTAAGAGACAGAATAGATTAATTTTTTTAACATTTCTTTACTTATTAAAATAGCAATGATTGGGTCAAACTCTGGCACTGACACATCAAGAAAGAAAGTGACTTCCACAGTTGAAAACTTACCACCAAAAATGCGATGCCATGAATCTCCCAGTATTGAAATTTCACAACTGTAGTGTATGAGTTATAGCTGTAATATGCTTAACTCAGCTAACATCACCAAGGGCATGATTCAAAACCCAGTGAAGACAATGGAAAGATTTTTGTTAACTTCAGTGGGCACTGGATCAGGCCATAAGCAATTAGGCTGTTGTGTTCTGTACTAGCTAAGGTCCTAATCCTGCAAATACTTATGCATTTGCTTAACTCTATGCTTGTAAGTAGCCCCACTAAGACAGGGGCTCAAGTTCTCAAAATTTTTTGCTGGACCTCTTTTGAAAATATTTCAGGCTGTGATGACCAAACCCCCCACCCTTTCCAATACCATTCCACTGATGGGCAGCAGGTATCATAGGCTGGGCCTCTCCAAACAGCCAGGCCCACGCTCCACAGCTCCCCCTGTGCGGTGGCCCCGGGGCTGGGGCTGTGCCATCCATCGTCCTGGAACTATGGGGCTAGGGCCACGCTGCCTGGGACGGGAGCCGTGTCTCCCAGCACTCTGGAGCCGGCAGCCATGGGGGGGAGGGGTGTAGAAGGGGCAGGGTGGGGATGGGGCTGGGGGCTAGCCGGCAGTTCACGCACCGCCAGGGCTGGCGCAACCCATTAGGCGACCTAGGCGGTTGCCTAGGGCGCTACAATTTGGTGGGTGGTGACCATGGCGGTATTTCGGCAGCGGGACCTTCCGCCGCCTCTGTGAGGGGCGGCATTTCAGGGCGGGCCTTCCGCCACCTAGGGCGGCAGAAAAGCTGGCGGCGCTCCTGCGCACCGCCCATGATTCCACCATTACTTCTGCACTGCTGCTAGCGGTGGCACAGCCTTCAGAGCTGGCTGCCCAACCAGCAGTTATTCTCTCGGGACCCCCAGTTTGAGAAACACTGCACTAAAGTCAATGGAGCTACTTATGACTAAAACTAAGAACATATAAGTTTGCAGGATTGGAGCCTAAACTGTTTGGACGTTTTTCAAGGGTAGCCCCAAGCAGCGGTTATGTGAAGAAGAAGAAATGAACTTGATTTCCTTACTTGACCATACATTTACTAGGCTATTATTGGCTGGGGGTGGAGGACAGGCAGTACACCTGGTAGCAAGGGCAGAGTATGAGTCTTATATTATTACCTTTGCAACTGTAGTTCAGATTAAAAAATAACTTGACAGGTTCCAAATGGGATGACCACTATTCCTGGGTAGAGGAAATATCACCAATGGAAGGACTTCAAGGCTAGCAATGGGGGAGGGAAAGCTCAATGGTTTGAGCATTGGCCTGCTAAACCCAGGGTTGTGAGTTCAATCCTTGAGGGGGTGATTTGGGAATTGGTTCTGCTTTGAGCAGGGGGTTGGACTAGATGACCTCCTGAGGTCCCTTCCAACCCTAATAATCTATGATTCTATGAATGGAGATTAGAATGGTGGCACAGCTGAAGCAAATTCCTTCTTTAGTTTAAGTTAAACTAGCTATAGGTATGCAGCACCCAGAATGCAAAAAAAAAAAAAATGCATAAGAGACTGAATTCAATGGAGCTGTGCTAGAGCTGAGTTGGGGTTTGTTTGGGTTTTTTTTAATGACTGTTTGCAGTAGGAGATCATTTAACCTGCCCACACCGGGGGAAAATATTGATCCAAATCTTGGGAAAACAGAGGTGATAAGATACAATGCAGATGACTCTCTTATAATATTCATAGTTTTGTAAGCCTGACAAATATTTTATTCCATATTATTTAAAGGTTCATCAGAGCATAGACCCTGATCCTGCAATGTGAACTGATGGTTTGGACCATTACACCTGTGCAGAATGCCAATGAGGTCAACAGGACTCCACATGGATGTAAATGTCAGCACTATCTGATCCATGGGGGTGGTTTTCCATGAGTGGACTCTTATGCCTCTGCAAAGCCCCCGTGAAGTCAGTAGATTTACACATGGGTGTAAGTGTCCAACTGCGCAGAAGAGCCTGGATGCTCGGACTCTTGGAACAACAGTTCCACCCTCAGACACAGTGTAGGAAGAAAGTTAAGCAGAGATCCCCTGCACATAAAATCTAATTAATGGATAGGGAAAGTCTTTTTCTCTTGGACTATTTACAACTTTTTAAAAACATTTGCTAAACCAGGGAATGTGAGGCATGATGTTCCTTGTATTTCTGAGGTAAAAAACAAGCAGGAATAAAATGAAAACCTTTACAGGGCTTTTGTACATCCTAAAGAAACAAACAAAACCACTTTTCCCCTTTCCCAGAGCCCGGTATTCTGGAAATCTGTGGCATCAGAGATCACTTACCTAGTTTTATTGCTTGGTAGACATTCTCTGGATCATGCACCAGATCACATAGGGCCATCAATGCCCTCTGCCGGGTGAGCAGCTCAGGGGACTGTAACTCCTCATTCAGCTTAGGTAGGGCCCTCGCCCCAAAAGCAATGGGGGCTTTAGTGGGGTCAATGTCGGGGGGCAGTTTGGCTGAGATACGAGCATGTGCCATCCCTAGGTACTATGGGATGGAGTCCCTCTATTCGCTAAAGACACCCCAAAAATCACTTTCCCAGAGGGGGTGGCTAAAGTACCCCAGGAAGCAGGAACTCCTGCTTTCAAGACGCACTGAGCCCCCAGCAGAGCTACTCTGGGAAGGAGTCAAACTATGGTGAGCGTAGGACAGAGGATGGGGGGGAGGGAGGGACGCGGGCCCCCAGTTTATTTCTGTCTCTGTCGAATTCTGCTGCGCTGACTCGGCTGGACGGTTTGGTTCTGACTGTTGTGAAGCCAAAAAACGGAAGCAAGACCCCCACCGGGGCCGGTTTACAATGGGGTAGCTGGGGGAAGGGGGCTTCTTCCCGCCCCCCAGAAACGTTAAAAACGGCTCCTCTGACCGAACTACGGGGGCGGGGTCGTTTTCAGGGAACCCCCCGAAGCCATTTGTTCGGTCTGAAGTTTCAAAACAACAACTCGTAAGGGTCTGTCCTGTTTAAAAAAAAATCCCAACCCGAACGGAGCCAAGTGGGCAGCCCCCACCGGGCCCCGCTCCTCGGCCCCCTGCGCCTCGCCTGGCCCTGCTCACAATCACTAGGGCCCGGGCCGGCGCTGGTTGCTAAGCAGCGGAGACGCTCTATGTGTGCGCCGGGTTCTGTGAATAGGTAACTGCGGGGCCTGCCACTGCAGGCTACCGGCTTGCGCAAACAGCGCCGCTAAGGCATTCTCCGCTTGTTGCGAAGCAGGGCCAGCGCCAGTGACGTAGTTGGTGAATAGGAAGCTGGGGCCGTTATTAGCGTTGGGAAGGGCACTGAGGAGAGAAGTGATCGAACCATCGAGCTGGGGAGGCGATGTCCCTACAGGAGGGACGGGAAGAGAGAGACTCTTCTTAGGAGGGGTGAGCCCCCCCTTCTTAGGGCCCCGCTGACAATCCCCGATGCGGGGAGGATGTGAGCCCCGGTGAGGAGAGTGTTTATAAATCTCCCTCTGGGGAAAGGGGAGACGCCCCACAACCTGCCCCATTGGGGGTGGGGGGGGCATTAACTATCTCCAGGGGGGGGCACCTGTATGGTTTTGCGTGGCTCATTTAAACCCTCCCTTATCAGTGTTTGAAATCTGCCTTCTTCAAATGAGAGCCATGGAGAGGCCCTCGACTAGGATTGTTGGTCTGCTGGTCACTCCCTTTACACACCCTGCCCAGGGTCCCTGGGCCAAATCCTGCCCACAGCTATACTCCCTGCATCCCACTGACATCGCTGGGGCTGCATGGGGTGTAACTGAGGCCAGAATTTGGCCGCCTATCTATCTATCTATCTATCCATCCAGGGGCAGATGTACACAGTATCCCAATGTTTATGACGATACAATTAAATCATTGGTGGAGAAAAGCCAGCACCAGGGTTCACTCTGAGTGAAATGGGAGCGTAGCCTGTATAAAGATTCAAGAATTGGGCCCAAGGATGGGAGGAGAGAAGAAGGAGGTTTGGGGAGGCCAATACAAAATAATTTTGTTTAGGCTGGTAATAAAAAGAAGGAGGTGCATTATTTACCTGTACCTATTATTTATAGGTAATAATATTGAACTTGAATGATTTCAGACAGTCAGAATGCAGGGATATTGCACAGTGACTGACATATAACTGTATGCTTATGTCTCTTTTATGCCTCTTTCTGCACTCTAGCTGAGGAGTTCAGGTTTCCATAATTACTGTAAGATTATTTCTCAATAGCTGTGTGATATGCACATCCCTGTTTTCTGACCATATATGCAGCACGACTATTATCCAAGTGTCTCCTGCAGGCTTAAAGAACTGTACAAACTGTTGGTTATATTTCTGAAGTGGCTGCCACTCACTCGCTTGCTGCATGACTTTGGGCAGATCAGTTAACTTCTCCTTGATTCAATTTCCCGGTCTGCAAAATTAGGATAATAATAATCAACTTTATAAAGTGCTTTGAGGTCCTCAAATGAAAGGTGATATATTTAAATGCAGAATACTGTTATGATTTTGGGGGAAATCTGCCAGAATGCTAAAGACCAAACTATATTAAAAAACCTTGATTTATAATAAGGCAACACTTTTTAATGGACCCATTTGCAGACTATTATTTCTGTAGAAAACAAAATATTTAAAATTATTCTAATATTGACCAAGAGAAAGGCATTGTTTAGTAATTTGATAATGGGACTGGGCAATAGGCACTCCTGAATCCTAATCTTAGCTCTGCCTCTAATTCTTTCTCTAGCCTTGGAAAGTCCTTTAGCTGCTGTCTCAGTTTCTCCATTTGTAAAGTGGATTAATATTAATAACACCGAACTGTTTTAAATATTACAGTAGATGGGTATTTTTTGTGAAGTGCCTTGAACATGAAAACAACAATTTAATTGTTAAATGTTATTGGTTCAAGAAAGCCAAAATAAGAGTATCTAGCCTGGTTCATGTTATTTGATTTAGAGTTCTACTCTTACAGGGTGAAAGGACAGATCTGCATTAAAATTGGTATCACAAAGGCACAAACAAGCTCAATATTCTGTGATTTCCTAATAAAAAGAACAATACAAAGGAAGGCTCAGCAGATGGTTGAAGACATTTTAATCCCTCTGTATGTGAAGAAGTAAAAGTGGATATTGTCTCAGATCAAATATGCATAACAGAAGAACTTGTGTAAGATTATTTGATTTAACAAACAGTGCATACATCATACTAAATCCCCATGCTTCATAGAGATGGCACAGTCCTGTGTTTGCCTTCCTCCTACAGGTAGTTCCATTGAAATCAACGGAACACCTCTTATGAATAGTAAGTAAGGTTTATGACCTGCTCCTTCTTCTCCCATTTAAATTAATGATAGCTTTGCTATTGACTTCAATTGGAGCAGAATAGGGTCTCTTGCCTTTTAGTTGAAAAGTATATGTTTAATTTATTTAATTATGTTAAAGCTTTTGCACCTAAAGCAATTAGTGAAATGGTTTCTCAGCATGCAGTCTTTTAAGAGAGGAGGAAATTTCAGGCATATTAAAAAAAGAGAAAAAAATCTTAGTATTTCACATCAAACTTATGCTTCTAGGGGACTTTGAATCCCTGAAGGTGTGAAATGGCTGTATTAGTGGCCTCGGGGCCTTATGAAAACCACACCATGTGGTGCTGGGCAAACCTAAGATATGTAGTAACCATTATTTTGATGCACTGGTTTGTCAACATCCCTCCTGACACATTTTATTGTATGTCACAGAAATAAAACACATAGCGGAGAAAAAAACTTTGGTGGAGCCAAATGCTTGAAAAAGATCCAACTATTGTTTTAAAATAGCTGAGAGTTGGAGCCTATAAATTAGAGACTGAAAAGGGCACAATTATGTGGGAATGCTAGTTAATCTCTCTATAATAAGGTTGATATAAAAACAAAAACATTTTTAAACGATTGAAAGTAAATATAAAATTATGCTTTCCATTAGACATACACTGCTTTGGCTGCTGTTCTCCACCTATGCAGGGTTTTGGCCGTATGTCTTTACTTTATGCATAATCTACTAGTCATACCCTCATTTCTGGGCCATGCCCACATTTCTTCCTCCACATTACTTTCCAGAGACCCACCACAGATATGACATCTGGATTATATGAGGATTATTTCCTCTGTACATTGTTTCCACTTGGTAGACCCTTACACATACACATAAGTGGCCTCAAGACTTGCCTCTGTTTTTCAGTACCAGCCCATTAATGTTTATGGCATAGGATTATGTGGAAGTTTAAAATTTGATACCTTGGTAGGCAGGAAGCATATGTCACTGCAATGCTGATTACCTCAGTCTCAGGGTGCTTTGGGTTCTCACTGAGGCAACCGTGACATGTTCTGGCATCAGGGAAAATCAACTGTTTGTGCAGCTTGTGCTACAAAAAAGGTTACTTCCCCACTCTTCACAAAGCAGTTAAATATTCATACCCATGAGCTAATTTTCATTATGTTTGTGCAACAGCTATAATAATCAGAGTTCTTAGACAGGATTTTACAAAGACAACGGTAGGGGTCAGTCAGATCAGTAGGATTAACATCAGACAAAGGAATAGATGCTGGCTTGTCTGTCATTGAAATCCACAGTGGCAAACTTTGTTACTGTTAAAATGATCTTCAAGAAAACATACTTATTTTCTTAATCTCAGAATTTGGGAGCAAATTGTCCAGTAAACCAGCTAGGCCCATGTTGTGGGTTAGAAACTCATTGAGTGTGCACTTGTGGAGTTTCCTCTTACTTCCACTGGGATGTGGGCTCTTCCATTTGCAGAATGGGAAGAGGGTGTCCTGAATAACCTGCAGACCTCCCAATATCCACAGGAAACCAGGCCATCCCTACAAAGGACCTGTGCCTCCACTCTGCCTTCTCTCCTACCTCCTTGGTCCTTTGGCAGGAACCATGCTGTCCTGGGCTTCTCCAGAGGCCATTAGCTTTGAAAAACTCCTTCAGGAGTAACAGGGGCAGCATTAATTTATTCTAATTTTCTGAAGGATGTTGGAGAGAAAGATGGAGAATAGCTGGCCTGCCAGACCCAAATTCCCTCTCCATTCATAGTCTGTTTTACATAGAATACTGATAAAGATGTTTCTATAGCACTGATGGAAATGGGGGATGAGGCAATGAAAGCAGCATGTCCCTTTTCTTTCTCTATGACCAGGTCCCCTCCAACCCTGTAGGCAGAGGGAATGATTTGGGCCTTAATACAGACCTCTGGTCATAGCCAGCTTTAAAGTTTTCTTATTTTCCTTAGTGGTTTTTGACAGCTTTGTATTTCTTAAATCATTATCCATGCTCCCTCATTGTACAGTACAGTTTATTGATTTACTTGCTGGGAGAATGGGACCGAAGCATGAGAAAAGTAAATATACTGGTTACTAACCAAGACAACCAGGTAATTTAAATTGGTTACCTTGGTCTCTACTGCACTTTGGATTCATTGAGAGTGGTATTGATTTTTATAGTTTTGTGAAAGGGCTCTAGGAGACCAGCAGTGACTCAGCCTGTGTACACAGGGCAATTGTTTACATGATTAGGATGTTCTAGAACAGAATAGAGGGAGATTAAGGAAGCAGCTCATATGGTGAGACTGTCACCCAGGCATTAAAGTTTTTGTTCTGATTTAAAATTATTAATTTAAAATGTGAAAACTGGCTAAAATCGATCCCCATTAGCCACAAAGGCGTCTTATATGTAAAGGTCCAAATCCTTTATAGATTCCAAGGCTAGAAGGGACCATTGTGATCAGGTAGTCTGACCCTCCTGTATAACACTGGCCATAGAATTTCCCCCAAATAATTCCTAGAATAGATCTTTTGGAAAAACAACCAGTCTTGATTTAAAAATTGACAGTGATGGAGAATCCCCCATGACCCTTGGTAAATTGATCTCACCTTGTGCACACATAGATAGGCTAATTTACTTCCCTAGGACTATTCACATGAGTAAAACAAGCTGGATTTAGTCCAGGGGCTGTAGAATTGATAACATTCCAGCTTCTCTGGATGATCTATTGATAGCAAACCCTGGTCTCTTGTTTGTTTTTGCAATATGCTTATGTTCACATGAATGACTAAAAATATTTAAAAGTAACTGCACACAATAGAGAACAAAGCACTGGTTCTAGGTAGCAGATTAGGAATTTCAGCTGTTTAATATTCATTGTGCATTGTCGTTTTTTAATTTTTCATTGTACATTCATGTATTGTTTTGTAAGGTACTGATCCAAGTGGGATTGCCCCTTAAGACTTTGCTCCAGGACTGCCAGGCTGGACTCCAGGACTGACCAATAGAATGTGAGAGGTTTCTTTTATTCACAGTTTTTAAATCTCATTGAAACAGATGGCGAAATCCTTTGTTATACAAGATTACAATTAATCCTTAAACCTGGAATAGAGGGAAGGCCGGTATGCATTGTGTACTAATTAATAGGTAGGGGAGTGCTCCTACCATGCAGATCTGCATTTGATTCCTCAAGGCCTGTCTCTTATTCCCAGGATGTTAGGAGGAGAGATCACTTAAAGGCTTGATAGAACAAACAATTCTTTGTATAAAGGACTCTTTAAAACAGTGTGCTGGTGAACTGTGCACCCTGATTCTGAAATTGAGCTGAAGTCCATTTAGCTGAAATTCTGAAAATTCCTCCTGGGTTTCATCACATTCTCTCAGGGGTTCCATCATTAATATCCTTAATATTACCTTATTGCTAATTTCCCAGTCCTCCAGGCCCTTATCTAAGGGGCTGATCCTGCAAGTCCTTACTCAGGCCCACCACCCGCTGAATTCAGTGGCACTATTTCCTTAATGCAGAATCAGAGGCCCATTGTGCTTACTAACCAATAGCATCTGACTACCCACATCCATAAGTAACCAGTTCAGCCCTTTAAAACTGCTCCATGTTAGAGAGATCTGCAGTATTCTCATGTAGTTAGTTACTCTCTATTCCAGCTCCGCCTTCAGATGTGGTTGGGGGGGTGGAATGTTTCAAACAGTTGCTATGGTCACACAGTAGCATGCGGAGCTGCCGGAGTAGCTGAGAACCTGCTGCATCAGCTGCTACATGGTGAGTCCTACTTGCTACATGATCAGTTTTCTTATTGGAAATGTCTTTATTGTAAGTGCTGGTAGCAGATAATTACGCTAATAAAGGACTTTTCCCCGCATCCCTCAAAGCTGCATTGTGTAGGTAGTTGGGGTAACTGGGATTTCTTAATATATGCATGATTCATATGAACATTAGCTTCTTCCAAGTCACGTTGTGTATTGACTTAATTCTGTCTGAGTTGCTTTTGGAAGACAGTTTTGTTCAATATCAGGAAAAGTGGCAACTTTATCATCCTTCCGCCCCCAACCAATTGGATGAAATGAGATGTCATATAGGATTTATAATGCAACATGCATTGGGAAGGGGCATGAGGGAGATTTCAAATAACGATATGAGAGATTTTTAAATGTTGTGTTGAGACATGTTACAAAATTATTTATCAGATGGAGAAACTATAAACACTTGTCTGTAAAATTAATCCCTGCATGAAGGAGTCTCTTCCATCTTACTGAAATGAGACTTGGCTGCATTGTAACCTCAGAAAGCCACTCGTTGCTGTTACAGCAACATAATGAAAGAGTTCCTTTTAGCTAAGAAATGGGGCATTTATTACCAAGTGAAATCAAAGATCTACAAGCAGTGGGCTGCCATCTGCTTGGTTTTGTACCAGGAAAACAAAGATGCAGTATCCATAAAGAATGGCCATTTCCTTTTTTCATTCATGTTTGGGGTCTGCTGAGATGATTCATGATCTTTGTCTGTCTCCTTTACAGGTTTCATGTCTAATTGAGACAGACTGGATTTGGACGATGAAGTCCAGCCTAATGCATTTGATTCCTCCAGTGAGTAGGGACAGAATAATCTCCCATTTTCCCAAGGTAAGCAGCTCCTCCTCCCTGTGCCCATACAGCTTGGCACCTGGCAGGCTAAGTAGTGCCTTCCCCACCCACCCAGGAGTTTTTTCCCCCCCACTTACATACAATTATTTTTTGCTTTTTTTAAAATGCAGAAATTTTAATAATTTCTCAGCATTTCAGAGGGACCAACATCATTTCCCCTTTCTCTTCCAAGGCCGGTATCTCAATTACCAACCTTGATCCCTTCCTTCAACCAAAAACAGACGTACATCTTGACACAAAAGCCTTGTCTGTAATTCCCACCTGTTCTTTGAACTGACACAGGTAATTGCCACAGTTAGGGAGTTGTTACAGTAGTTTGGGAAAGGTGAAAAATGTGGCTGGTATTTAATAGGCAAAAAAGGAAAATAGATTAAGGGGGGCTATAGTATTTGATGGAGTTTCCTTTCTGATCTTTTTTTCAGTTGCTCAAAGGTTCTTTAAACATAATCCTTTTGGGCTGTGCCTGAAATAGTTCATGCTTGATCTCAGCCCAAAGATTTTGTTTTTAATTTGATCAGAGTCAGCTCAGTTGTTTTATAAATTATGCAAGCATGGAGGAAAATACACTTTTTCAAAATATTCCATTTGAAATGTTTGCACTTGCATAATTCCCTCTAGAGAAAGAGGTGTTATTAGCCTCACCCTGCACACCTGTAAAATCTTACAGGATACAAAGGTAACAACCATTGCCTAAATCATGGGTTTCAAAGTAGCAGCTGTGTTAGTCTGTATCCACAAAAAGAACAGGAGTACTTGTGGCATCTTGGAGACTAACAAATTTATTTGAGCATAAGGTTTCGTGGGCTACAGCCCACTTCATCAGATGCATAGAATGGAACATAATAGTAAGAAATATATATACATACAGAGAACATGAAAAGGTGGAAGTAGCCATACCAATTGTAAGAGGCTAATTAATTAAGATGAGGTATTATCAGCAGGCGAAAAAAAACTTTTGTAGTGATAATCAAGATGGCCCATTTTAGACAGTTGACAAGAAGGTGTGAGGATACTTAACATGGGGAAATAGATTCAATATGTGTAATGACCCAGCCACTCCAAGTCTCTATTCAAACCCAAGTTAATGGTATCTAGTTTGCATATTAATTCAAGCTCAGCAGTTTCTCGTTGGAGTCTGTTTTTGAAGCTTTTCTGTTGCAAAATTGTCACCTTTTAAGTCTGTTACTGAGTGACCAGAGAGGTTGAAGTGTTCTCCTACAGGTTTTTGAATGTTATGATTCCTGATGTCAGGTTTGTGTCCATTTATTCTTTTGTGTAGAGACTGTCCGGTTTGGCCAATGTACATGGCAGAGGGGCAGTGCTGGCACATGATGGCATATATCACATTGGTAGATGTGCAGGCGAACGAGCCTGTGATGGGGATTTTGTCCTCATCCACAACTATTTCACATTTGGGGACAATATATACCTTCAAGTCAGCGGCACTGCTCTGGGTACCCGCATGGCCCCACAGTATGCCAACATTTTTATGGCTGACTTAGAACAACGCTTCCTTAGCTCTCATCCCCTAACGCCCCTACTCTACTTGCGCTACATTGATGACATCATCATTTGGACCCATGGAAAAGAAGCCCTTGAGGAATTCCACCATGATTTCAACAATTTCCATCCCACCATCAACCTCAGCCTAAACCAATCCACACAAGCGGTCCATTTCCTGGACACTACTGTGCTAATAAGTGATGGTCACATAAACACCACCCTATACCGGAAACCTACTGACCACTATACCTACCTACATGCCTCCAGCTTCCATCCAGGACACATCACACAATCCATTGTCTACAGCCAAGTTCTAAGATACAACCGCATTTGCTTCAATCCCTCAGACAGAGACAAGCACCTACAAGATCTCTATCAAGCATTCTTAAAACTACAATACCCACTTGCTGAAGTGAAAAAACAGATTGACAGAGCCAGATGAGTACCCAGAAGTCACCTCCTACAAGACAGGCCCAACAAAGAAAATAACAGAACACCACTAGCCGTCACCTTTAGCCCCCAACTAAATCCTCTCCAGCGCATAATCAAAGATCTACAACCTATCCTGAAAGATGATCCCTCACTCTCACAGATCTTGGGAGACAGACCACTCCTCACTTACAGACAGCCCCCCAACCTGAAGCAAATACTCACCAGCAACCACACACCACGCAACACAACAAAAACACTGACCCAGGAGCCTATCCTTGCAACAAAACCCAATGCCAACTCTGTCCACATATTTATTCAAATTACACCATCATAGGACCTAATCATATTAGCCACACCATCAGGGGCTCGTTCACCTGCACATCTACCAATGTGATATGTGCCATCATGTGCCAGCAATGCCCCTCTGCCATGTACATTGGCCAAACCGGACAGTCTCTACACAAAAGAATAAATGGACACAAATCTGACATCAGGAATCATAACATTCAAAAACCTGTAGGAGACCACTTCAACCTCTCTGGTCACTCAGTAACAGACTTAAAGGTGGCAATTTTGCAACAGAAAAGCTTCAAAAACAGACTCCAACGAGAAACTGCTGAGCTTGAATTAATATGCAAACTAGATACCATTAACTTGGGTTTGAATAGAGACTTGGAGTGGCTGGGTCATTACACATATTGAATCTATTTCCCCATGTTAAGTATCCTCACACCTTCTTGTCAACTGTCTAAAATGGGCCATCTTGATTATCACTACAAAAGTTTTTTTCGCCTGCTGATAATACCTCATCTTAATTAATTAGCCTCTTACAGTTGGCTAATTACTTCCACCTTTTCATGTTCTCTGTATGTGTATATATATTTCTTACTATATGTTCCATTCTATGCATCTTATGAAGTGGGCTGTAGCCCACGAAACCTTATGCTCAAATAACTTTGTTAGTCTCTCTAAGGTGCCACAAGTATCATGTTCTTTTTGCCTAAATCATGCAACAGTCAGAGCAGTGTAAAATAACCGTAAGACTAAAAGACCAGCCATACTGGGTCTAGTGGTCCATCTAGCCCAGTATCCTGTGTTCTGACAGTGCCCAATGCCAGGTGCTTCAGGGGGAATGAACAGAACAGGTAATAATCAAGTGATCCATCCCCTGTCGCCCATTCCCAGCTTCTGACAAACAGGCTAGGGACACTTCAATTTGTGATATTATGACTGAATTTAAGAAATAGCAGGGATCAATTGGGAGGGTTGTGGGAGAGGGAAGGGAAATCAAGCCTGCTTTATTATAAATCCGTCATAACAGAAAGAGCTCCCTGCACAATGAGGGTATGTCTTCACTACCCGCCGTATCGGCGGGTAGCAATCGATTTATCCGGGATCGATATATCGCGTCTCGTTAAGATGCGATATATCGATCCCCCGAACACGCTCACCGTCGACTCCAGAACTCCACCAGAGCGCGCGGCGGTAGCGCAGTCGACGGGGGAGCTGCAGCCGTCGATCCCGCGCCGTGTGGACCCCAGGTAATTTGATCTTGGGTACTTTGACTTCAGCTACGCTATTTGCGTAGCTGAAGTTGCGTATCTAGATCGATTTTCCCCCCCCCCCCCAGTGTAGACCAGCCCGATGAAGTATAAAAGATGGTGTAGTAAGAATGACCTGATGGATAGCATGACCACAACTGAATTTTTTTCATTTATGGGGGAAATTAAAGTTCCTGAATCTTTAACGCCAGACAAAAAACACATAGATATCTTGTGTACTGTGGAGTTTATCTAGGGATTTACATGATGAAGGAGGCTTACACTCAAAAAAGTGATAAAATAAGTGACGGAGAAGATACTTTTGTTGTCTGAAGAGGAAGCTGCTGGTCTACTTGGGAAGTTATTCCTGATTAACTCCATGTGTGGATGCTTTTAATCTGGAATAGTTAATCCACTTTAAATTCACTCCCTGTTTTATTCCAGATTAATTTTCATGTGTAGACAAACCCACATACTGTGTAGCCTCACTGCCTGTTAATCCAGGGAATCTTTCTCCCCTGCCTGTCCTTGATGAGGGCTTCAAATTCATCACCTTGTTAATTTGTTCCTGTCTGGCTGGACTCCTTACATGTTAGGCATCATCACACAATACATCCAAGTGACTGCTCTGTATTATCTGCAGTGGTATACGCCAGAGGCCTGTCTCCAGTTCAAAGACCACTTCCATGCACTGATCAGGAGTGCTTGTCAGCAACGCAACACTGGGACAGTTGGGTGAGTCTCTGTAATAAACTGGCCTTTACATTTTAAAAATTATTTTAAGTTCTTGTGTATATACCCACTTTCCTTAGTGTCTTAGCCTCTCTTCTCCCCTGCCTCCATGTATTTTAGGCCACTTAAGCTGTGTCTGTACTGGAATTCTCAGCCATGTTTGACAATAGTTGTCCAATGCAGTTCCCTCTGCTTCCCACAAACTGATGTTGAAGTCGTTTTTCCTGCTGATGTAGACAGGGTCAGCCAAATTCAACAACTTGGGTCAACCATGGTTAGGGTCATCCAAGTCCAAAGGATCAACCATGATTTTTAAATGGGTATGGAAGTCTGTTTATCCTGTGCACACCAGCAGGACAACCAAGTTCAAAATTAGCAGTAGGGAATAGAGTAGATGCAGTCTTGCTGTCGTCCTCTCAGTTGATACCAATACTGATTGAGTATAGAAAACCAGTAATTAATACAAATCTTTGGGCCAAATTCTGTTTTCATTTACCCTGGTGTAAATGTGGAGTGGCTCCATTTTCAGTCAATGGAGTTACCTAGGAATCTGGCTGTAATCCTTCAAAACTATTTCTTTCAGAAAAACTGACATTTTATACCTTCTCCTTAAGGCTGGAGCATTATTCTGGAGAAGAATAATATATTGTGCTGAGAAATGCAAATCAATTTTCTTGTGCCTTTCATAATGCTTCTTGAATTGTTTTTTTAAAATGTCATCTCTCCCAGAGCAGGATTTCCTTTTACTTGTTCTTTCAGTGAAAGAATAATGTTAAATTTCACAAACTCAGCCTTACGATTTCATTGCTGAGTCAATTCAGAGAGCTGAGCTGGGAGGGAGATCATCCTTATTCAACTACAATAAATAGTTTAAAAATAAAATTGAGAAAGTTATGGGCAAAGTATGTCAATGATATAAATATTCTCTTTTTGGGGGGTTTGCTCCAGTGTGAAAATCTCTCTCTAAGGGAAACTAACTGTATTTTGAGTACTCAAAATGTAGTTTACTACTCTTAAAGACAAAACTTGTTAATTTTATTGAGCTATATCCATCTTTAAGCAGAACTCCTCATTCATCTTACTGGGGAGTCTTGCTTAAAAACTGAGGCTATAAGGGCATACTATGGCCCTGTATTGCTACTTTTTTCTTTGCTGTACATCTGTTGCAGGTAGCAGGGTCATTTTCTGAATCTTCAGCATGCTGGCAAAATATTTACTGAACAGAAATATTCTTCTCATCTGTAACCCAGACATTATTGCTTTTACAAGAATTATAGCAACTCCCCTTTCATTTAATCTGGCCCCAGTGAATGGCTAAAAGGATTTTTATTTTGGCTCCTTAATAAAATTAAAGCCCTCTCTTTTCAATGGTCACTAGATCAGACCATTCTTATGCTGCTTCTTGGTAGACAGCTGATGGTTTGACCCCATATATGCAAAACAAGAGCACTATATGTCATGAACAGCTGTTATTTTCCTTTCCTATTATTAATGTGGAATATTTTTCTTTGGATGCAACAAGATAGTGTGAGCAGTTCAGTGACTGGTGGACCATATATTAGGTCTCAGTTCATGTTCCATCAGTGTGTGAGCCCCAGAGTATTTTGTTCTACTAGGAGTTAATGGAAGTCACATACTCAAACAGTTATATTCTTCTTTTGATTCCTTTTGCCTTTAATGTAGCTGATTTCATCAAGTATCATATCATCAGCAGTTAATAATCAGGGATCAGAATTTCATGGAGCTGTGATATAACCTGATATATTGTTAAATAAAATTTGTTTCTCTTTTAAAAAGTCAGTATAGAACTATTAAATCTACTAAGGTATTACTGTAGCATACACACAGGAGACACTAAATTATCATTCAGAGGTTGGTTCATCGAATACAGTCACAGTTACCCACCCACCTGCAGCTCCTTAAAGACATACTAAATTACAATTTTAAGAATACAACTTGAGTCACTTAAAGCCCATCTGCTGCTTCCTGTGGGAGGATCCAGAGCAAAGAGGATTATTTGAAGCCAGCCTCAGATTAATACTATTCCAAATAGTCAGGAAAACTTTTGGCACTAAACGCTGTGTTTTCTCCAGAGATAAATCTCACAGTAGATTAGTCATTATCAGATATTTTCTTGTTCAGATCCATAGGACCCGATGCTGTGCCATTCAAGTCAATGAGTCTTGCTATTGATTTTAGTGGCAGCAGGATTGAGGCCGCACACTTCCACATGCTCACAAATACACAGATTCTTGTATGCCGTTATGTGCAAATGCTCACACCTACACGCGCGCACACACACACACACACACACACACACACACACACACATAAACATACACAGTACAAGCATTCTTAGTAGGAGTGAGTCTCTGCCCCAAAGAATTTACAATCTAAGAAAAACTGGACAATGTAAGAAGCACACTATTTATCTCTGTTCACAGTATTCAGTTCTTTTTGCAATTACAAATTCAGGGTCCTCCCTTCTCCTCCTTTAGTAATTGCAAATTCAGGCTCTGATACTGCAGTTGATTAAGCTAGGGCGGACTCTTGCAGCTGCACACATTCTGCGAAAGCATACCATTCTGCCCTTGCATCACAGCTTACTGGATAGGAGCCTAAATCACCATTATATGGTAAGAATATTGAAACTAAGGGCAAGTCTACACTACAGAGCTACATCAGCACAACTGCAGCGTGTCTGGTGAAGACGTGCTATGCCGATGAGGGAGTGCTTTCCTGTCGGCACAATTACTCCACCTCGCCGAGAAGCAGAAGCTATGTTGGCAGGAGAGCATCTCCCACTGACATAGCACCGGTATGGACAGCACCAAACTTGCGTCGCTCAGGGGAGGGGTACTTTTTCACACCCCTGAGCAACGTAAGTTATATTGACTTAGGCTGTAGCGTAGACCTGCCCTAGTATTAACAGTACTGAACAATAACAAAATATTTGTTACAGGCTGAAAATATCCAAAGTGGTTGTGGTAGGAGACCTCTATGTTGGGAAAACCAGCCTCATCAACAGGTACGGTATATCTCAGCAGATTGGGTTTGCTGTTTAAATGTATAGCAATTTCTCTGCATGCTGGACTCTGTTCCTTTACCATCTATGTTTTCAGGATGATTGCCTCATTGTAGTAAGGACTTTCAGTTTTATATTAAATCAATAATAAAAATATTAAATATTTTTATTCACCCCCCTGCTGATCACAGTGCCCCACATTGTCTGTCTCAAGGTGGCTTTGGGGCATTAAACTGAAGGAAAACCAGAAAATCTACAATGATAGGCACTAAAATTCATTACAGCATCATAGAAAATCCCTGTTAGCACCTTGATCAATCCTTTTTGGCAGTTTAGGATTATTCCCTCTATGGTATAGTCTCAAATATTTTGACCAGTCTCGTTTTAAATGATCCAAGATATGGGGCTTTCAACATTTCCTCTGGAGGGCTGGAGTGGCCCTTAGATTCTCAGTCTTCTTTGGAGAATTGTTCCTTAAAACGTTTTTAAAAGATCTTGCCTATTCACTGACCCCAATAAAAGGCGCTCAGGCTAGAGCACTCTCCTGAGAGGTGGGAGACACCCCCCCCCATTCAAATCCTTTCTCTCACTCCAGCAGAGTCCCAGGCACGTGTACTAACCAAAGCATTAATTTCATTGATTCTTCCCAGAATACTAAGGCCAGTTCTATACTTTATGATGTGATGACAGTATCGGGATATGGAATTTAAGTAGCTTGTTATCACTATAGCTTCCTTACTATCCTCACAATTTCAGTCAGTTCCTCAATATTGGTAAGAAGTAGATTCTGGATGGTTTCTCATCCTTTTGGATAATTAATTTTTTCTCTACTTAACGTGATCCATATTCATCTATATTTGCCACCTAGCAGATATCCCTTATAAATAAGGTATTCCATGGTTTTAATTTCTTTGATAGTCAAAAAATAGTTTATTCTGATTTTCTCCAGTCCTGGGGGGTCTGTTAGGGTATGTCTACATTACAACTGGGAGCACGCATCCCAGCGTAGGTAGACAGACTCACTGTGAGTGGGGCTCGAGCTAGCATGCTAAAAATAGCAATGTGGACGTTGCAGCTTGGGAGGCAACACAGGCTCTCAAGTCCATCCGACCCTCTGGATCTGAGCTTGGATAACTAGCCCAAGTCTCTGCTGGGGCCACGACAGCCACACGGCTATTCTTAGCATGCTAGCTCAAGGCCTGCTAGCACAAGTCTGTCTACCCGGGCTGGGAGGCTCATTCTCAGCTGCAGTATAGACATACCCTTAAATAAGCCCACTATAGTTTTCCCTTTGTTTCATTTACTATATCCTTACTCAGAGTAACTACCCTCTTCATTATCAATTTGTTTCTCATTGATTTGGTAAATATTTTTGAAATACAATGTGACTGAATACAAATCTTCTGATCCACAGTTATTTAACTCCTCCCTATATAACACACCTTGCACAATACTGAGGCATGATACGAAATTTAAAAACCACGATGCTTTTGGCTTTCTCCTAATACTTTTTTCATTGCAGGTTTTGTAAAGATATTTTTGACCGAGACTACAAGGCAACCATTGGAGTGGATTTTGAAATTGAACGGTTTGAAATAGCTGGAGTGCCATATAATCTCCAGATGTAAGTTGGAACATTATAGTACCAGCTGTTTTCTTTCTTGCATGCCTACAGTTTGAACAGAACTTAAATTGCTACAGGCTTTAGTGGTATCAAAACCTCTGGTTTATATTCCACACAACATAGTGCAATGTGAGAAACACCTGCTATTCTTGGACACTGAAGAATTTCAGGATTTTAGTATAAACCTCAATCTGTTGGGTTCCTTGTCTTTGAAAGCTTTATAATTGTACCACCCACACTCACCTTAGATACCAAGTCTGATTTTTTAGTTGGGTTCTTTCTTTTTACTCAGTTTTCCTGTAAGATTGAATGAAGCCCCGAACAGCAAATTATATCCTGGGCTACATCTGTCCCACTTTGTTGCCTTCAGTGGGAGTACATGGATGTAAATGAGCACACTGTTTGGTTTTATGAGATTTGGGCTTTGCTCCTGCACCTATTGAAGTCAATGGCAAAGCTCTCGGTGGCGTAGGATCAAGCACTAAGGCCCAGATCCACAAACCGCAGACTTAGGCGCTTAAATTTCATCTTCAGATTCCAGTTTTGGCTCTACTGTGATCCACAAAACTCTTGCCAAATCCTGTAGATGCCTAAACTCACTTGGCTCTAAAGTTTTCTGGGTGAAAGCTCCCTCAGCACCTAAGTTTCTGCCTCTGGGCATGCACACTTCTACCTCATTCTAAGTGTCTGGATGCCTATCTCCTGCCTAAACCTCAGACTAATCTACAAACCAGGGGAAGATAGGTGTTCTGCCTAAATCCTGTGCAGGGCCCAATCCACTAGGCTTGGTCAGAGACCACCTACTGTATCGGGTCCCATTCAAAATTTTGCTGGAGGAGGAAGTAGTGCTTTCCACTTATAACTGTTAGCCCAATGGTTAGTACACGTGCCTGGGACTCTGCTGGAGTGAGAGAAAAGATTTGAACGGGGAGTCTCCCACTTCTCAGGAGAGTGCTCTAGCCACTGAGCTTTGGAGCTCCTTCAATCTCTCCTGCTGAAGCTATTCTAGTTTGGATAAATAAAGAGCGATTGGAGCAGGGGGATTGGAACCTGGGTCTCCCATCTCCTTCAGTGGTTGCTTTAACCACTGGGCTACAGAACCAATCTCTCTGTCTCTTCCCCCAGTGACTTTTTCACTGTGGATAGATACTTAAATAGTCACTGAGTCAGAGATAGTACAGGGAGTCTAGGCGTCTAACTCAGGTTTTGTGGCTCATAATGGTGTTACTGTGATTTTCTGCACACCTAAAAGTTAGGCGCTGCGATGCTCAGCACTGCAATACCTAAGACCCTTTGTGGATCTGGGCCTAAATGACTTCCCCAAGGCTAAATCATGTCTGTGCTGAGAATAGCAAATACAGGGTTAAAATGCCTTGATTAAAATAATGGTGCTTTACACTTTACAGGATGTCTAACAGAGCTTAATGGGTAACATATTCCAGATGGTAATACTTCTCTGGTATCACATTCTTCTCCAACTTGTACCAGTCTGTTGCTTCATTAGTGTGTTTGCTCAGGTTGCACTGGGTTTGATTGACCTGAAATTTCTCTTTTCCTTCTGCACAGATGGGACACAGCAGGTCAGGAAAAGTTCAAGTGCATTGCATCTGCTTACTACAGAGGAGCAGAGGGTGAGTAAGTCAGAAAGCACTTCACAGTCAGGATCAAATTAATTGTGCTCTCACTGTATGCTTCAGGAGCTGAGTTGAACCCGTAAGATTTCTAATTCACTGTCTCATTTAATTATTTTTTCTGTGCTGTTTTTATTGCAGTTATTATAACAGTGTTTGATCTGGCTGATATCCAGACTTTGGAACACACGAAGTAAGTTCCTGGCCAAGTCTTTGAGGTTTTAGTAAAAGGTCTCCAGCATAAAACTGAACTGGGAATTAAAATTCACTGGGCTTGATTTTATGTGTAGGTATCTTACTAAGCCAGAAAAATGAAGGGTGGATTTAGCCAATGTGTCTGAATAATTTAGTGTCTCAAATGTTACTCATTTCCTAGGCTTTCTACTTACCAAATAGCATTTTCTTACTCCAGTACTGTCTGTAGTGATGATTCTGATAGAAAAGATTCTGGTACTTAGATTTAAAGCAGAATGTGGGCTGTAAAGGGGAGGGAATGGGATATTGGAGAGACTACCTTGCACAGATCAGTCATAAGTACTGCAGTGTCTGCAGCATGTACAAATATCATTTTATTAAATAGTGTCTCTGCTTAGTAGAAGGTTGAAGTCTGGGGGCCTAATTTTTCTTTCACTTACATTGGTAACTCAAAGATAACTCCACCTAAATCAATGGCATTTCACAGGTGTAAAACTGGTGTGAGATAAGAATCAGGCACAGCTTCATAGTGATCTTTTCCATTATGTGGCTGAGTAGATTCTTGCCCCAGTGGGAGTTTCTCTCGCTTTCCTTCACTCTTTCTTCTTCTCTGCTTCAACGTTCATCTTTTTCATTCTCCCTCTGCTTCTCCCTCTCTCTTCCTGTTCTTGCATCTTATTCCTTATCTCTGGGCTGTGTCACCATTACTTTGGCCACATCCCTTGCTGTGGGTGAATAGTGTGGCACTTTTGCATTCCTTCTCTAGGGGCTCTGATCACTGTTGGACTTACATTCTAAAGTGGGCAAGGTTGGCTGAAACAAGAACTACTTTCACAGGATGGTAAGTGTGTATCCAGAGGAGCTAGAATAGCTTCCAAGCCATTTATTCTCTAGTGGGAAAGGCACATGACACATCAGCATCTTCCTCTTCTCTCATTCTCTTTGTTGTTGGTTTCTTTGTCTCTTTCCCTTTTCCTCTATAAACCTCTATTTCTTTCGCTCCTCTTTGCCCTCTTTCTTCCTCTCTAATTACACCTTACTTCTCCTGTTCTGTGTTTCAGGCAGTGGCTAGAGGATGCATTGAGGGAGAATGAGCCAGGGTCCAGCTTCATCTTTCTGGTTGGAACAAAAAAAGATTTAGTGGTAAGTAGGACAAAGACGGTTCATAAAATGTGTCTCCCCTAACTCATTTCAGCGAATTTCCATTTGAAGTTAAGTCCAGGTATTGAGTCCCCAAAACATGTGGTAGCTGCTGCAAAGATCTTGAGAAACAAACTGTATAATTACCAAAGCAAAGAGAAGTCATGTAGACGTGGAGCAGTAAGCTTCACAGAATGGAGCAGAGTGAACATTTTCTAGAGTGCTGGAGGTCACCAAATCACTCCCTGTTCTGTTGGAGGCACAGCTTTACCAAACACACCTGAAGTCACACACAGCAAAGTTTAAGACCTGAGAAGATTCAGTGCCATGGTAACACCCCTAAAGACTGCTATGTAGACAATGGATTTAAAAGCTCAGTTATGTCCCCACCCCCTGCTTCTTTGAGGGGGTCATCTGCAAAAGGAGGAGGGAGCAGTTTGGCCTCTTCAGATTTGAGTTTATCTCCTTCATTAGCCACCACCCTGTCAAAATTTAAAGATTCAAAAGTAAACACCCTTTCCTGCTGTTTAGCTATATTTTCTTTCAGTTGCTGCCTGCAATGCTACTCATATCCCTAAAGCTCCGTAGCCCACTTACTTTCCATCAGTTCCCTGGCTGTCTGAAGGAGTGCTAATGCATCCCAGAAGGCTTTGATCCTATCAGTTACAACATGTGAAGCTCTTAAAATCTTCTGGCCTGTATCAGGGCAGCAGATAGTGTAGGTAGCAGAAAAAATTAAACAGGTTTGAGAGGTCAGGGGACACGAGAGATGGGCTCAGGTGGAACTGGAAGTAAGAAGGAATTCTGTTTGGAGGAATGTGGGACTTTGTCTTGTGTGGCAGGAGAATATTGGATTAAAACTGGAAAGATGTCAGCAGGTACAATAGGCTGATTATTAGATTCCCCACCTATAAATACTCTTGAGGTGCTTGCTGATCATCTATCACTCTCCCAGATGCACTTTGAGTAATTGTAAGCCAGTGAACAGTGGCTGAAGCAGTGAGAAGCTCTTAATACATGGAGCCAGTGGCAATGAGAAACTGACTTGGGTCCTGATCCTGCTGCTGCTTATGCAAATACTTAACTTTAAACATTTGAGTAGTTCCATTGACTTTATTGGGATTACTCGCGTGTTTAAATTAAGCACTTTGCAGGACGGGGCTTTAGGATTACACAATACTAGTCAATTTCTATCTATAGCCAGTTGACCATAGAGAGCAAATTAAGAGAGAGAAAGTCTTTTAAAATGAAAATAAAGGTACAAGAAATTAAAAATAAATAAAATAAAAATAGAAGGGAAAGAAAAAGAAGGCAATAACAGAAAAGCAGATTAAGAGGAAAAAAAGACTAGCAAGAGAGCAAAAAAGTGGAGGGGGAGAGAAAACAGCAAAAACAAAAGGGTTAGAAAGAGGAGTGAAATCGGGAGAGCAACATGAGACCGATGGAGGAGGAAGAGCAAGGAGAAAGGACCATCACAATTACTAATGCCCTATTGTTGGTGGCTCCTGTAATTTTCTGCTTAGAATTATTTAGAGACCATCTCTTTTGTTCTGTATTTGTACAGCATCTAACAAAACGGGGTCCTGATCCATGAGTAGGGCTCCTCACCGCTATGGTAATACAAATTATAATAACCACCTGAAGGCAGCATTTGATAGCTCTCTAGACTCCCATATTGTTAATGTGTTCACTTCTGCTATCTGATGCTTCACTGCTGTGGAATAGAGAGGGAGAATTATATTTAAAAAGAAGTCCTACGTCCGTTTCCCTGTCAAATATCTATCTCGCTGTTTTCTTTCACTAGTTCTGTCTTGATATATGGGACATCCTGGTGTACAAGCTCTAAGGCAAGGCCAGGAAAAGGAAGGACTGGCCACTGTGAAAGCTGGAAGTCTCACAATGTAGGGACTGGTAGCATCTTTGCATTACTGTTACTCCAGATATAATCTGGGAGTATTGTGCCTGCTGTATGTTGCAGACAAAGTGATTCCCTGCTGTTTTATTCAGTCAGGTGCCGCATGTGAGCGGACAGAACTGGATGCCATTCGCTTTGCTAATGAGATGCAGGCTGAATACTGGTCTGTCTCAGCAAAAACAGGTTAGTCACTGCACTGGAGACTGGTTGAGTGTGGCCAGTTCCACTTGCTGGGAAAGAGGGTATCAAGTTACTTCCCCTGACTCTGTGCACACCAGTTGATCATGTGCACACTAGGCTATATATGTGTTTATGTTTCTAAATGGTTCTACATGGCTGTATGTACATTTGTACAATCATGTTTGCAGAAACGTGCATTGTATTTGTATGCATTGTCTAGGTTTATTCATAGATGATGGTGCACAAGTGCTTGAGTGTGAGTGTGTGTATCAGTGCTCAAACTGAGGCCATAGGAAGCTATATTGCACCACACGTTTCCTCTGCTGCTGCTCATCAAAAATATATTTGTATGTGTGGTTGAAGAAGGGAAATGAGAAAACGTTACCATGGGGTGGTGGGTCTCCAGGATATACTGTCACTTTGTGGGGAGCACTTTTAGGGTGGCACACTATCACTTTACTCTCCAGTTTGACCAGTGTTTTGTTTTGTGTTTGTATATTTGATCATGCGTAGCTGTGGGTTTGTAAAACATGGTGGTTCTCTCCTGTTTCCCAGGGGAAAATGTAAAGGAGTTTTTTTCTCGAGTTGCTGCCTTGGCCTTTGAACAGTCTATGCTGAAGGAGCTGGAGAAGAGCAATGGTCGCATGGCCCAGATTGGGGCAGGAAACCTCATCAGTACGTTCAGCTTCACTGTCTCTGTCCACTTCAATCACTTAAAAGTTTGGGGGAATGCGGATGTTTCTTGAGGGCCAAATTCTTCCTCATTTATACCAGCGCAACCTCTCTGACCTCATTGTCTGTCTATCTTGGTTCTTATGTGTAGTTGCACAAGTGTTACTGAAGGCTGAATCTGGTCTCTGTCATCTTTATTACAGGAAGGTGATCCTACATGGATTAATTATGTAACCCTTTGGTTTCCTCATTTACAGAAATAGAAGGAAATTCACTGGAGACTCCAGAAAGCAACAGCCAAGCCAGCCTGAACTGCTGCTAGCTTCCAGTCATTTCTGCAAGCATCACACCTCCATCTGCATGTGCGTACACCTGCATGGCGCACCTGCAGCAGGGAAAGCTCTCAAGCAGCTTCCAGTTGAGAGATGGAAAGTCAGTTTATCTCAGGAAAGAATGGAGGAGCTGAAAATGATTCAAGCAACTTCCTTTCAGACAGATGGTCTCTCTCCCACCCCTTGCTTTGTGCTCTCCTTGTGCAGGCGGCACAATGGTACATAAACCTTCCCTGTGCAATGGGGAGATTGCTTGTGTGATCACCTGAGGGATGACAAGCTGTCTTTACTCAAGGGGATGGAATCAACCGACCTCTTCCGCCTACTACCAGGAGGACCTGTAAAAAAATGTTCTGTACTTGTTTTATGTTCTTGGTAGCCACCAGAACTCTAGAATCTTGGACAGTGAAGTCCTGGCCCCATTCTTGTGGGAGCAGAAAACACATGGCAGTGCTGATTATTGTGGTGTATTTGATCTGTTTTGTCTTTTAAACACAAAATCCGTGTACAAAATTATGCTGACTTGCACCCAAGCACACCCAGTTTACCATGATAGCGCTGAGAGAAATATTCCAATTGTTTCTGGGATCAGGATATCTGGTTTCAGGATATCTGTCGATCCGTTGTAATTTTTAAGTCTATACATATTCTTCTTCCAATGGATGCAGACCAGAATTCCACTCAAGTGTGTGTATGACCAGTGTGCTGGAGTAGTACTCGTCAGAGTGACAAACATGCCTTGAGCCTCCTCATGGCTCCTCCTAAGGCTATATAAGGCTGATGCCACCCTGACCCCCCTCAGGCCCTTCTTATCACTCATGGCCTGAGTCGCAACTTCCCATGTGGTTCTCATGGTTTTTTTTCTGCTACATAGTTAGCTCTTAACTTCATTAAATCTGTAAATAGCTATCAGTACAAAAATATTGCTCAGGCATGCAGGAGTGAAATCAGGAAGGCCAAATCACACTTGGAGTTGCAGCTAGCAAGAGATGTTAAGAGTAACAAGAAGGGTTTCTTCAGGTATGTTAGCAACAAGAAGAAAGTCAAGGAAAGTGTGGGCCCCTTACTGAATGAGGGAGGCAACCTAATGATAGAGGATGTGGAAAAAGCTAATGTACTCAATGCTTTTTTTGCCTCTGTCTTCACGAACAAGGTCAGCTCCCAGACTACTGCACTGGGCAGCACAGCATGGGGAGGAGGTGACCAGCCCTCTGTGGAGAAAGAAGTAGTTCAGGACTATTTAGAAAAGCTGGACGAGCACAGGTCCATGGGGCCGGATGCGCTGCATCCAAGGGGCTAAAGGAGTTAGCGGATGGGATTGCAGAGCCATTGGCCATTATCTTTGAAAACTCATGGCGATCGGAGGAGGTCCTGGATGACTGGGAAAAGGATAATGTAGTGTCCATCTTTAAAAAAGGGAAGAAGGAGGATCCGGGGAGCTACAGGCCAGTCAGCCTCACCTCAGTCCCTGGAAAAATCATGGGGCAGGTCCTCAAGGAATCAATTCTGATTCTCTTAGAGGAGAGGAAAGTGATCAGGAACAGTCAGCATGGATTCACCAAGGGCAAGTCATGCCTGACTAACCTAATTGCCTTCTATGATGAGATAATTGGCTCTGTGGATGAGGGGAAAGCAGTGGATATGTTATTCCTTGACTTTAGCAAAGCTTTTGGTACAGTCTCCCACAGTATTCTTGCCGGCAAGTTAAAGAAGCATGAGCTGGATGAATGGACTATAAGGTGGATAGAAAGCTGGCTAGATCATCGGGCTCAACGGGTAGTGATCAATGGCTCCATGTCTAGTTGGCAGCCGGTATCAAGCGGAGTGCCCCAAGGTTCGGTCCTGGGGCCGGTTTTGTTCAATATCTTCATTAATGATCTGGAGGATGGCGTGGACTGCACCCTCACCAAGTTTGCAGATGACACTGAACTGGGAGGAGTGGTAGATACATTGGAGGGTAGGAATAGGATACAGAGGGACCTAGATAAATTAGAGGATTGGACCAAAAGAAACCTGATGAGGTTCAACAAGGACAAGTGCAGAGTCCTGCACTTAGGACAAAAGAATCCCTTGCACTGCTACAGACTTGGACCGAGTGGCTAGGCAGCAGTTCTACAGAAAAGGACCTAGGGGTTACAGTGGACGAGAAGCTGGATATGAGTCAGCAGTGTGCCCTTGTTGCCAAGAAGGCTAACGGCATTTTGGGCTGTATAAGTAGGGGCATTGCCAGCAGATCGAGGGATGTGATCGTTCCCCTCTATTCGGCATTGGTGAGGCTTCATCTGGAGTACTGTGTCCAGTTTTGGGCCCCACACTACAAGAAGGCTATGGAAAAATTGGAAAGAGTCCAGCGGAGGGCAACAAAAATGATTAGGGGGCTGGAGTACATGACTTATGAGGAGAGGCTGAGGGAACTGGGATTATTTAGTCTGCAGAAGAGAAGAATAAGGGGGGATTTGATAGCTGCTTTCAACTACCTGAAAGGGGATTCCAAAGAGGATGGATCTAGACTGTTCTCCGTGGTACCAGATGACAGAACAAGGAGTAATGGTCTCAAGTTGCAGTGGGGGAGGTTTAGGTTGGATATTAGGAAAAACTTTTTCACTAGGAGAGTGGTGAAGCACTGGAATGGGTTACCTAGGGAGATGGTGGAATTTCCTTCCTTAGAGGTTTTTAAGGTCAGGCTTGACAAAGCCCTGGCTGGGATGATTTAGTTGGGGATTGGTCCTGCTTTGAGCAGGGGGTTGGACTAGATGACCTCCTGAGGTCCCGTCCAACCCTGATATTCTATGATTCTATGATGGTGTGCTTGCCCAGGGATTCAAGTGTCTTTTACTCTCAGCTGTCTCCAAATTCCCTGGTAATCTTGACTGCCATTGAGAAGTCAAGGCAAGAAAGGTTCATGTCAACACCCAAAGAAAGAGAACTGAAAAGAATGAGAGCCTTGGGCAGAAAGATTTATTCTAAGTCATTTCTCCAAATGCAAATAGCTAATCAACAGGTGCTGTTAGCTAAGTATGATTTTTCATACCTGGGAGGCTTGTCAAAATTTACAAATAAACTCCCTGAGGACTCCCAGGAAGAGTTCAAAGCCTTTTTGGCAGATGGCCATCTGGTCACAAAGACATCTCTTCAGTCTACCTTGGATGTTGCAGATGGTTCCTCTGGAACTATGGCCTCTACAATGAGAAGAGTTTCATGACTATATAACTCTGGGATAGCCTGCAACATACAACAGTATAGAAGACCTTCCCTTTGGGCATTTTCTATTTTCAGATAAAATTGATGAAATATTGCACTCATTTAAAAGACCTTCAAGCAACCCTCTGCTTCTTAAAGAGTTTATGTCCCAGTGTCCAAGAAAAGAGACACAACTCCCTGCATACCCAGTACTCCTAGCAGTACTATAGAAATCCTTTCTACCACCCAGGCAAGTTGACATGCTGAAAAGTACACATAGACCTCAGAGAAGAAGGTCCACTAGCTCAGACTCCAATCAGCAGGCCCATTCTCAGACATCTGCAAGGAAAATCTGCCTTTTGACTTTTCCAATGAGGACAGCAACCTAGTTATTCACAACCCACACACTATTGTCTCTCCATTTGGGAGCAAACTATCGCGCTTTCTGGATAATGACAGACAAGTGGGCCCTAAGTACCTTGAGACTGGGATAGTCAATCCAATTCCTTTCCATTCCCCCTTCCCCGTCCTTTTTCAGGTACTCAACTCATGAGCCTCTGCTCCTTCAAAAGGTCCAGATGCTGCTTGCTGTAAGGGCTGTGGAAGAAATTCCCATACAGTTTCAAAGAAAGGGGTTTTATTTGGACATTTTCTAATTCCCAAGTCCAAGTGTTGTCTAAGGTCCATTTTGAACCTTTATGGTCTCAACAAGTTTACTAAATAAGTGAGATTCTACATGGTTTCCCTGACATCTATCCTCCCCCCTCAGAATTGGAACAATTTGTTTGCTGCCCTCGATCTTTGCAATGCTTGCTTCCACATCACAATGATACCAAGTCATAGGAAGTTCCTCAGATTTATGGTAGTGAGGAGACACTATCAATACACCGTTCTTCCCTTTGGCCTATTGTCAGCTCCTCATGTGTTTATGAAATGCATAGCAGAGGTGTCAGTATTCTTGAGAAGGATTGGGATACATATCTTTCCTTACTAGATGATTGGCTCATCCAGGGCACATCACTCTGTGAGGTCCTCAATCAGCTTCAATTCATTCTCCATCTCTTTGACTGGCTAGGGCTCATGCTGAACAAAGAGAAGTCCACATTAGTGCCCATGAAGAGGCTGAAATTCATTGGGGGCTCTGCTTGACTCTATGGTAGTGAGGGCCTTTCTTCCTTGAGAGGTTTCGACCATTTACAATCTTTGTGTGTCCGTCAGGTGTCACCTGTCCACCATGACCAGAGCATGTCTCACATTGGTACATCACATGGCTCCATGTGTGTATGTGACCATGCATTCCAGACTGCATTTTCATCCTCTACATACAAACATGGCTAAAGTTGGTTTACCAACCAAGCAGACATCTGGACAAGTTAGTCCAAGTTCCTCCTGTAGTCTTACACTCTCTGGAGTAGTGAATGGACTAGGACATTGTATGTGCGGGAATCCCTTTTCTTGTTCCTTTCCAACTAGGACAATTATAACTGACACTTCTACATTAGGCTGGGATGCTCACCTGGGTGGTTCATGGGGGCCCAAGGGATATGGACATACCAGGAAGGGAGGCTTCATAACGTTCCAAGAGGTTTTACGTAACAGAAGGAAACAATCAACTAGCTCCACCTATTCAGCTAAGTGGAAGTGTTCTTCACTTTTGACTTCTGCTCAAGGGATTCAGTCAATAAGGGTGAGTGTCCAGGACAAATCTTCTGGCCCTTTCTTAAATTCAGTGAAACTTCACCTGGCAGCCATTTCTGCCACTCAGGGAAGAACAGTGTTTTCCAATCCTATGGCTACAAAGTTTCTCAAGTAAATTACTTGTCTGTTTCCACCTGTAAAAGCATCAGTTCACCTTAACACAGTGTTAGCCACTCTCATGGAAAAACCTCCATTTGAACCTTTTGGCTATTTGCCCCTGGGCACATTTGTCCTGGAAGATGACCTTCCTTATCGCCATCACATCTGTGAGGAGAGCTGGCAAGTTGCAAGCATTAGCGGTAGACCCTCCGTACACTCATTTTTTAAGGACAAGATGGCTCACCCAAAGTTTTTAAAGTAGTGTCAACCTTCCACCTTAATAAGATGCTATACCTAGGTCCTGTGTTCTTTCTGAACCTGCATGCCAGTTGGGAAGAAGAGTGTTTTACATACCTTGGATGTAAGATGGGCATTGGCCTTTTTCATAGACAGAGGTAATTGTTTAGATGTTCTCCTTGACTTTTTGTTTCTTATGAGGCTAGGATGAAGGGCCAAGTGGTCTCGACCCAGACAGTCTGT